GAAAGTTCCTTTTTTCTGCATCTGCTCGTGCATTTTCTTGGCGTTATCTTCGTGCATGCGTGGCTGACTATTCTCTCTCTCGTTTTCCTTCTTTTTGTCCGTTTCATGTTTGTTGTGTTTTTATTGCTAAAGCTGGGCAGTTCAAATTGGCATGCACGTGATGCTACCTCTTTATTTTATTTTATTTTATTATTTAATCTATTATTAAGATATCATATTTAAAGTATTTTTTTAATTAATTTTTTTTAAGAGAAGGGAGTAAAAGGAGAGAGGATTTTTTGTTAGATGATGATGATGATGATGATTATTATTATTATTACTATTATTATTATTATTATTATTATTATTATTATTATTTTGAAAATATAATCCTAAAAAGGATTAAATTTTTTTTGTATTTTTTATATATTTTTTGGTTATTTATTATTATTTTTATTAAATTAAAAAAAATGCCCGGATAAAATACAGTGTTCACATTTACAGTCAAGAAAATGGAAGAAGAGAGAAAGATTTAAGTGTAAAAATCTTACTCTTGATGTTTATGAGCTCTAAATTACTCCTACAAGTTGGTTTCCTCAAGCCCTAGCACTGTTCCTTCACCTCTCTCTCAGTTTTCTTTGTTTTTCCTCTATTTCGCAACTTATGATAATAGAAATGTGACCATGCACTGCGGCGGACGCACAATACGCCGTAACTCATGGTACAAAGAGCCTCTCCTAGGCATGTTACCACACATGTGTTGCGGCGGCTTATCCACAAGCTGAGCCCCATGGCACAGAAACTTCCTCTTTAGAATTTCTTCTTCTTTCATTCTTGGGTGACTTGATTCTCTTTCTAACCTGTGTTTAGAGCTGAAATTGAGACCAAACAAACTCGTTAGGCCTCTCTGGCCACACACCTCACTAATACACTTAATTAATTGATTTGAACTTAATTAATTTGATTTAAAATTGAGGATGTTACAATTCTTCCTCCTTTTATGAATTTTTTCCCCAAAATCCACATAATTACTTAAAACATACCTCATGGAAACAGTTGGGGGTATAATTGCCTCATTTTCTCTTCAATCTCCCATATAACATTTTTGGGAGTTATTCCCTTCCATATCATCTTAACTAGGTGAATGGTCTTATTCCTTATCTACTTCTTGTTCACATCAGCTATTCTCTCAGGCTCAGCTCAATATGTTAGATCCTCCCATAACTTAACCTCTTCAGGTTCAATAACGTGAGATGGGTCAGGTTGATACTTCTTCCATTGAGAGACGTGAAACACGTCATGTACTCCCGCAAGATGAGGTGGCATCACAACTTGGTAGGCGAGTGTCCCAATCTGCTCTAGGATTTCAAAGGGACCAATGAAACGTGGAGTCAACTTCTTAGCTCAAATTGATCTCCTAATGCCTGTCATCAGCATGACTTTCAAGAAAACATGATTGCCCACCTCAAATTCCAATGATTTCCTCCATTTATCAGCATAGCTCTTCTGTTGATTCTGAGTAGTCAAAAGCTTCTGGTGTAACCTCCCTAAGGTTAAACCACAATTAACTCTAAATCATAGTAATTCGAGGTTTTAAAAGAAGGATTTCTCAAAATCTTTTCAAGGGAATCCCAATCTCAACAGTTCAAATCTCAGACATAATTTAGAGACTTTAAATCAGAGTTTTGATGACAAAGCAAAATCTTGAAAATCAATTGGGACCCAAATAATGAGTTTTAAAACTCAAAAACAAATTCTGTGCAGAAATGACACGTGCGCTGCAACTTAAGACTCGTGCGCTGTGGCATGTCTCCTCTGTGCCATGCACCGCGGCATGAGGTGCCATACACCGTAGCGCATTGCATGAAATTTGACAGATCAGTACTGTCATTTAACAGCACAGGGAGCAGATTCTTGATGCATTCCAAAACTCGGTCCAACGTCCGATTGAGGTGGTTTCGGTGTCTACACAGAGCTTTCTCCTAGCTCTAGCTAATGGCACATGTTTCATATTCAAACTCATTTTCTATAAAAAGTTAGACACCAAAACTCATTTCTATCACTTTTTCACAAAATCTCATAAATGCGGTGTCCTAACTCTACCACACATGCCAATAGTTTATACAAACTATCCAACCACACTTAATGGACTCTTACAGACTCGTGCAACACACCACACACAATCAAATATACTTATTTCAAAAAATCACCACTCAACTCTAATTTTCATAAAACATCAAGGGGGAGGAATAATACCCCAAGTCAACCATTTCATTTCATATTTCTCAAAAATGCATATGTTCCTACTTGCACAAGTATTTTGGCCCTATCCACAGTTCACAAAAAAAAAAAATCACTAACCCAGGGCACAAAATACACTAATTAAATATAAAATTATGTAAGTAGTGTACTAATCATGACAATTGCTCCTAGTTAGCAAAGACATTAACAAATACACATGTAAAGAGCAAAAGAGAGGTTTATAGAGGATTTACTCCACCAATCCTAAGCCTCAGTATGCAAAGGGAAGGTAAGTATAATGAATATATTCCAACTTCTAGACATGAATGCAATAAGAAAAATCATCCAACACAACAACCACACGTACCGGTCTCAGAATGCTTGAAACTGATACCAAATTGTAATGTCCGCCTTGACATTATCAGGACAACACTCACATATCATTGTGATAACTAGGATTTAATAAAACTCCTTACCAAAGCTACCAAAACTAAAAGGTTTGACAATAATTAGTTTAAAAACATGAATGCAACACTTGTGATAGAGGCGTCATTGATTCCTAACCGCACCCTAACGGGTACTAGGGAGTTGCCAGACTGCTCGAATGTCCCATAGTAACAGTCCCATATAATGCGGCACCAGATGTCCCATGGTGTCAACCCAATCATATGGATTTTTCACTCACATATCTCTACACACACATATTTCTACATATCTTGGGTAAACTCTCATCCCCTATGATCATGCTCTTTTACAATTTCATAACTTTTCATCACATCCCCATCTCACAATCTTATATATAATGTGTGTGTGTGTGTATATATATATATATATATCAATTAAAAATCGATAACCTTTTCCAAATCAATTTTTCATGCTAAAATAATTTACAATGTCACATTATGCACAAAACTCTTCAAAACACAACTTTATCATTTATAATTACTTCTACATAGTGAAAATAGTTAATAAACACAATAAACTATATAGTTACCTTAACCCTTTGTCACACAAAAAGGGTTTTCGTGGCTCAACGTTAGCTCCACACGTTTTATATGCACAATATAGCACAAGTAATACTCAATCTACATAATAAGTGACAATCGTCAATTATCACTCTGAATAACTCTGAATTCTCTATGTTCTAAGTGTCTAAAATACTCAAATTCCTTTTCCAACAACATCATCCATTCCCACGCACTCTAACCATCCTATTACACATTCCAACACACTAAAATCGCTAATAAATGTCTCATATTGTCTTAAAATCATCAAATTATACTTAAGGTTCATCCAAACCCTTATCAAAAATTCTCAATCACCACAAAACTCATAAACTTAAGGTTAGAAGCTTGATTTAACTTTTCAAAATCTTAAATAAACCAATGGGTTCGGTCTAAACTCAAGAAAACCAAAATCAAAGCCCCCATTACCCTAAATATTCAGATTTTGGCATAAAAGAGGGAGAAGAGGGAATGTACAACTTACCTAATGGTGATTCAAGCTCTAAATGCCCTTAAAGTAGCCTAGGGATCAATACTTAGCAGATCATAAGCTCTTCTTCGTCACTCTCTAGTTATCTCTCTTTTTCTCTTATGTTTTCAATCTGTTTTTTTACATATGATAAGTACAGATTTTGCATGTGCATTGTGGCGCACTAACTCGCTCGTCGAGGCACATGGCACAGAAAACTCTACAAAATTTTAAACTCCCTTTCGTGTCATGGCCCGCTTGAACCTTGACCTAATCTTCTTCTAAGACTGTCCAAGGATCTAAAAACCATATTAGTCTCCATAAATCTCAATAAATAATAATTTATCTAAACTAACCAAATTACTCTTGAAAATATTGATAATTACTAATGAGGAAACTTAGGATGTTACAGGACTTATGTGTATGATCATATACCAACCTTATATCCTCCTGTTACCTTTGACACGAAATCGGTGGCTATCACGCGGCTACATCCTTCACGAACTAACCTAGCCTTCCACTTGTAAGGAGCTATTAGGCCAAGGTGAACTCACTCACTCATGTAATCCGATTTCCTCTAATATTAACAACTATGGCGTGTCGTACCTCTAATCTAGCCTCCTCATGAACCGGTGGTAACTAGTTAGATTCGAGTTCCTCGCAGAATAAGTGGGATAGTCCCGAATCAACCATGGGACGAGGGCTATGTCACGCCCAAAAAATAAGAGGTGACCGGCACAGGATGTAAACCACATCATACATCCCGTAAGCCATAAATTCAAGGTTTATTTAATTTAATTAAAATGTACTCAGTTATTCACTGACCTATTAATACTATTGATACTAATCATTACAATAATTATTTCACATTTTGTAAAAATTTTAACAGAACCTCCTCTGTAAATAGGATATCCTAAAATTCTGTATCACAAAAATGTTCCTTAAACATTATATCAATCAGGAGCTCAGCTCCTTCCAACTAACAGACAAAATGTATAATAAACTAAGGACTCTAATTATAAGTTATGTGGAGCACCTAATCATATATCTTATGACATAACACATAATTTCATATTTACATCAATAAGATATATTTACAGAACAAGCCTCTATTCTGTTTCGTAAACATCTATCCTTGTTAAGCAAGATGTACAACATCAAATATGTTATCTGAGACCAAAATAATTTTTCAATAAATAATGTCCTAACAATAAACGATAAACTATAAATAAAATGAAAAGTTTGAAATAGTAATATAAGTTAAATAGATAAAATTTTCATAAAAATTTAATAAACTTCATAATAAAGTGGCTCTATAAATTTCAAATAAAATCTCAAATCATTGAACTATCATGGCAAATGACAATATCACTTGATTTCAAAAAAGCTCATAAATGAAATAAATATTTATAAATAAATTACTAAATAAAAACCAATAGAATATGAAATCATCAAATGATTGGATTTATAATTACAGGGACTTATAAGAATAATTAACAAACATGGACACACAGTCCACGAAAGTAAATAACCAAACGCGACTTATGCCATGAAAACAAACGTGGACACATAGTCCACAAGAGTAAGTAATCAAATGCGATCGAAGCCACGAAATAAACGTGGACACATAGTCCACGAGGGTAATGCTAACCAAACGCGGCTTAAAGCCACGAAACAAACGTGAGTACAATGCTCACGAATAACCATCCCTTCGTTCCACGTGCGTTGGCCATCACATGGGGCTAGCACCTCCGATACACACCCTGCTAGCTAGGTGTACCATGGCGTGCCAAGGGCTAACAGAACTGTCGTTAGCAACCTGTGTTTTATATAAAATCCCTTTCAAATTCAAATTCAATTTCAAACATGTGAGAAATTGATCATTATCCAATCAAATTTTCCTTTTTAATGTCGAACTCACATGAATCATTTTTTTTCATAGCAATTCAATAATTTTCAGAATGAAATTTCATAATTAGAATTCAAACTTGTATTTACTGATTAACTAAAATGATCAATTCTAGTAAAATAATTTCACGAAATAAAGTAATTTAATCAACAAAATATCTCATAATCACATTGTTGTCGTAAAAAGAATTTGCATAAAATGTAATATTATAATAAAGAAAATTTTATTGAAATATCAGTTGGGACGCTGTCCACTTACCTGTAGTATTTCAAGTGCATATTCACTCTTTAGAGTCAAATCTTCCTTCTTGTAGACACCCTTAATCATGCTAAAATTTCAAAGTTCTTCTATCACTCATCTCATCGAGCACCCTAGGTGCATTCCCAAATGAAGTCCAAAAAAAAAATATTATCATTTATACTCATCAACCATGTAATTTTTAAAATCCAATTTGTCTCACAATAGCTTCACAATCAAAATTCTTCACAAAGCTCAAGTTAAACCTATGAATAATCAACATTTAAATCAAATATGTCCTCATAAAAATTAATGAAATTTTTTAAAAGTTCATAACTAGACAAAACTTATTCTAACAAACATTCTGTCAAACATCTTGGAAGCTCTATTGCTTACATCATAATAACAAGTTCACTTCACTTTCAATCTTCTTAATATATACTAAAATTTTATTTGGCTTCCTACAATTCCATAACATTCAATACATATTTCAAAAACCAATACATAAATAGCAATTTAGTACTTGAATTACTAATAAAAATATTCTCTTCAAAATCTCTATTTCTAATTCCAACTTCCTTTCAAATATTTTTATCAAATATCTAATATGCATCCAAATTCAAACAAATATAAAGCATCCTTTTTCCTTAACATCCTTTCTAAAATTTCTCAATACCAATATTTAGATTTAATCTAGAGCAAAATTAGTTTTGACTTCAAATGAAGAACTAAATTCACATTTATCTCCATTGACAATAACCCAAAACAACCATATACAAATTACTTAATGGAAATATTCACTTAACCTTTAAATTTTAATTTACTCAAATCCTACTTTAAACAAAGGCACAGATGGCAGCATCGTTAGGCAGAGATACCCCTGTTATAGCTTTCTAAATAGACCCACAGAATCAGCATGAAAGAGAATCTAAAAATCCTCACCTCAAGTTATCAATGTCAGAAACAAGAAGAGGTGCCTAAGCAAAAATAGAGGAGGAAGAAGGAAAAGTCTGACGCCCGCACCACAGAAAGCACAGCGACAGAAGAGGTGAACGTCGGCGATGAGAAATAAAACTAAGAAAGGATGGGTGGAAGTGCAGGGAAGCACGGAATCACAAATTAAACCTCAACAGTGGTGAACCCACCGCAAAAATTGACCGATGACTAACATGATCAGACAGAATAGAGAAGGAAAGACAAGATCTTGATGATGAGAAACAGAGGAGAAAGAAGCTTCTGCAGGCTAGGTGGATGATAGCAGTGAACGGTCGCAGCGCACACACCACCGGTGACGTGGAAGATGATGAAGAAGGAAGAAGAAAATAGAGGCGGCAGAGGCAACCCTGGTTCAGCTACTCTCTGACTCTCTCTCTGTCTCAATGGTTTTTAAATCTAATTGAAATGAGGAGAACGTGCTCTGCTCTTTATCTCTTTCTCTGAACGTGCTCTGCTCTTTCTCCTTTTATTTATTTAATCAACAGAAGGGCATTTTAGTAATTTTGCCTTAAGCTAAAGCTAAAGGGTAAAATCCCACTCTTGGCCTCATGAAAATTCAAATTTAAGAGCTATCAATAATGTAGTTTGTATAAAGTCCACTAAACCACAATTTCCTGTTAATATATTTGCTCTAAAAATAATAATAAAAATAAACTTTAAACACCTTCTAATAATTTAATTAATAAATTTTATTTTATTATTAGTATTTATTTATTTATTTATTTTTCTAGTCATTACAGGCTACCTCCCGGTTCCAACGGTCGGTGCTAAGGCTAATTCTTGATTCCAACAGTCATTGCCAATACCACGTGAATTTCAACCAATCTACTCCTTTCCTTAAGCAAACTCCCACTAATGATCATGCTATGCACATTTCACACATAATATGCATTTTAACAATCATTTCTCAACACATGAGCTCACATAACACAAATACTTCACAATTTAACACATAATTCATCATAATTCACCCTCATAATAATAAATCACAAATAATCTCATAAAACATTAAGGGTGGTAGAATTAAGGTTTTCTCTTTCCTAAAACCATTTCACAATCAAGTATTTGCCAATATGCATAATCAATTTAACTCACAAGTCACATTTTACAACACAATTAACATTCAATTATAAAAATTAAGTTTTCCACGATTACCTCAAATCTTTGAGAGGTCAAAGGTTTACCCCTCCCTATATCAACTTCCTAAAGCTTCAACAAGCTCGAATGGTGCTAAGACGAGCCTCTCTACAACCATATCACAAGTATATCATCATCATCTAGCTCTTTAAGCTTTTTCAATATAAAACTCCTTATACACTATTCTTATCAACTCATAATCAATACCTATTCATACCCAATGTGCTTATTAGATCCATTAATGCACATTATCATTAATAACACCTCAAACCATTATTAATGCACATTAACCTCTCCCAGCTACCTTATAAATACTAATTTTCGAACATTCAATGCTCCCATAGACCAACCATTTGCAAAATCATCAATGTAGTATTCCCATATATTAAATCACTCCCATTAATCTCATTTTAACCAATGAAATCGGACCTATACTCCTATAGACCGAAAATCCATCTCCTAACTCAAACCTTATCATAAACAATAATAAATGAGGGAGAGAAAGGAAGAAGAAAGCACCATAATATTACCTTGGATATTTGGGAGCTTCAATCTATCAATAATGGGGCCAAATGTCATGCCTTAACAGAGCCAAAACCAAGCTCTTCATTTTCCTCCTCTTTCTCTCTTCTGTTTTCATGCAAAAATGGATCAGATATATTTGATTTTTGGCATGCGTCGCAGTGCACAATGCCTTCTGTCGCGGCGCATGGCATAGAGGAGCTCGTTACATTTAAATTATCTCTGTATACTATGGCGGACCAACCACGAGCTGCGATGCGTCACGGCGTATGGCACAGAACACAACTATTTACTTTTTCATCCTCTTTCCTTGCCCAGGTGGCTCACTATCAATCCGGACACACTTCTAGGCTGAAATCATAACAATTATGTCAAGTTAAGCCCCTCTGGCCACACATCTCATTAACTCACTAACTACCCTCATTAGGTTAATAAATCAAGGATAAATTTTTTCGAATGTTACATCTGGCGAATCAACTCTATCTTCTAAGTAGTCTAATCCACTAAGTTAGGACCCAAAATGCTTCTCTCACTTAACACGGTCCAACAAAGTGGTGATCGATACTTTCTCCCATATAAGGCTTTATAAGGAGCCATCTGAATGCTCGAGTGAAAACTATTATTATAAGCGAATTCTGCTAATAGTAGGTGCTTATCCCAACTACCTATCCACTCGATAGCACATGCTCTAAGCATATCTTCCACTGTTTGATTCATTTTCTTAGTTTGACTATCCATCTGGGGATTATAGGCAGTATTAAATTTTAACTTTATCCCCAAAGCTTGATTCAAAGCCTTCTAAAAGTTTGATGTGAACCTTGGATCATGATCTAACACTATATCATTCAAAACTCCATGCAATCTCACTATCTCTTGCATGTACACTTTGGCAAACTTTTCCATAGGATAATCTGCTCTAATAGCCAGAAAGTGAGCTTACTTGTTTAGTCTATCAATAATGACCCAGATAGCATCATAACCTGCTTGAGTACGGGGCAAACCCATAATAAAGTCTATCGAAATGCTATCCCATTTCTACTTTGGAATTTCTAATGATTGCAATATACTAGGTGGCTTTTGATGTTTAATTTTAACTTTCTAACAAGTTAGGCACTTGGGCACATATTCAGTCACATCACACTTCATACCATACCACTACCAATACTTCTTCATGTCTTGGTACATTTTAGTAGCACCAAGGTGAATGGTAAACTTGCTCCGATGAGCTTTTGATAGTATGGTGTCTTTGATCTCCTTAACATTAAGAACACAAACTCGATCATGGTACACCACAAAGCCATCATCATTGAAACTGAACTCCGAAGCCCATTTTTCTTTAATGTTCTTTGGGACTTCTAACAAACATGGATCTTTCAATTGCGCTTCTCATAACTCCTTCCAAAACTCATTAGTGATCAATGTAGTATTCAAGTTAAACACGATAAAATCAAGCACATTCTAATGTATACTAGAGAAATCCTCTAATAACTTCTATTCATGTATCATCATGCAAGCTACATGTACCATCTTCCTACTCAACACGTCAGCCACTATGTTGGCCTTCCCTGGATGGATTTCAGCTCAAAATTATAATCTTTCAAGAATTCCATCCATCTTTACTGTCTCATGTTTAACTCTTTCTAGTCAATCAGGTACTTGAGACTCTTATAGTCACTGAACACTTTAAACTGTGAGCCATAAAGATAATGCCTCCATATTTTCAAAGCAAATACAACAGCTGCTAACTCAAGGTCATGAGTAGGGTAATTTTCCTCGTGCGATCTCAATTATCTAGACACACAGGTTATAACCTTATCGTCTTGCATCAATACACATCCTAAACCTTAAGTGAAATATTGGTGTATACCATATACGGCCACTTAGGATACGAGATTGTCAATATTGGCACTATAGTCAATTTCTCCTTCGGCGTTTGAAATGCTTCTTCACACTTTTCAGTCTATACTAACAGCTGATCCTTCTTTATCAACTTGGTCAAAGCAGAGGCTATTTGAGAAAAATCCTAAATGAACTTATGATAATAACCAGCTAACCCTAAGAAACTCCTTATCTTTGTTACTGAGGTTGGTCTCTCCCATTGCAATACCATATCAACCTTATGAGGATCTATAGATATATTGTTGGTGGATACTACATGACCAAGGAATTTCATCTTTGAAAGCCAGAATTCACACTTACTCAATTTTGAATACAAGTTGTGCTCTTTTAACACTTGCAGCACTATTCTCAAATGCTTGGTATGTTCTTCTTTATCCTTGAAATAGACCAGGATATCGTTAATGAACACTACGAACTTATCCAAGCAGGATTTGAAAATCTTGTTCATATAAGCCATATAGATTATTGGTGCATTGGTCAATCCAAAAGGCATCATTAAGAATTCATAATTCTCGTATCTCATCCTAAATGGGTTTTGGGTATGTCCTTAGACTTGACCCTCAACTGATGAAAACCAAATCTCAAGTCGATCTTGGAAAACACTGCTACTCTGGCAAGCTTGTCAAGCAAATCATCTATCCGTGGCAATGGGTATTTGTTCTTGATTATTACCTTATTTAACTATCTGTAATCAATGCATAACCTTAAACTCCTGTCTTTCTTCTTCACGAATAGCACAGGTGAACCCCACAGGGATACGCTTGGCCTAATGAACCCTTTCTCCAGTAGTTCCTCCAATTGCTTCTTCAACTCTTCCAGTTCATATAGAGCCATACGATATGGAGCCTTAGAGATGGGCTTAATACCAGGTACCAGGTTAATAGAAAACTCAATCTCTCTTTCTAGTGGTAAGCCAAACATCTCATCAACAAACACATCTAAAAATTCATTTACAACTCTAATATTGTCAAGAACACCATTATATACTCCATGCACTAAAAAGAACACTAAAAACATTTGACACCCTTCATGGTTTGATCTCTTAACTTGCATGACAGACAAAAACTTTGTTATCTCAAGGTTTATTGCTAAAACAGTGTCCTCAAATACTGAAAGAGTCGCAGCATCTACTGGTGGGACAACTATCTTCTTTTCACAGTCTAGTGTCGCTCTATTAGTCGATAACTAGTCTATCCCAACAATCATATCAATTCCCAACATGGGCAAACAAACTAGATCAATTAGTGTAACCCTATCACCAAATCTCATTTCAACTTTCAAACACGCACAACTGTTTTCATAGAAGTATTAGCCGGTGTAGATACATTCATCATCACAAGCAATTCAATCACAAGTCATTTTAACTTTTTTACACACTTATTAGAAATAAAAGAGTGAGTAGTACTCGAATCAAACAAAGCAGAAATCTCAGTACTATAGAGAGAAATAGTACCTCTGATAAGCTTCCTCTTTGGACATGGTAACGACATGACTAGGAATGACAGACCTTTGGTCACTTGTGCTAGCATTCTTTAGGCAGCATTGTGCTATGTGGCTAGTCTTGTGGCATTTAAAGCGTGTCCAGTACTCCCCATTGTGATACTTCCCACACTTGTTGCAATGTGGAGCTCTCAGAGGTCTAGCAATAGTAGGGACATAATCTTGCCTTGAAGTCTGGTTCTGACCTCCCATACTTTTGGGTGCATTACTCTTGGACTGGAATCCCTTAGATTGAGACCCCTTCTGGAAATAATTCCTGGCACCCCCGACATTAAACCCTTAGGACAATCCAGAAATAAAATTGATCTTCTTGATC